CAAACAACAAGAAGGGTGATGCAGACAGCAGCAGCAGTATCAGCAGTTCTGTGTGGGTGCGTGTACCACTACTGATTGTGGTTACACTGGCCTGCATTCTTGTGTGCTGATTGTAATGGTGTGGTGGTGGTGTGACTGAGGTCATCCTTTGGTTTCTTTTCTCTTTTGCATACATCCCTACAGTCTAACTAATTTTCCACCAGTTAGGATTTCTCTTTTTTTTTTGTTTCTTAATGTTAATGTGTTTTGTGTGTGTTTTTGCTCTCTTTGTGTTTATTCTATAATTATTATTATTATTGCTACTCTATTGTGTGTGTTCTTGGAGACTCTCTCTGTGTGTGTGCACCTGGGCTTGCACTGTGATGATGATGATGAACTGCTTTTTGCAGTGGGAGGAAAAAAGAAATAATAATAACAGATGAATTTATATTTATAATTGCTTGTATACACATATATACTTGTACTCATAGTTGGTGTATTTCTGTGTTTACTGGGTAAATTGGGCTAATGGTTAATATCTTTTTCTTTGTTTGTTTGTGATTTGCTGGTGCGCTGTGTGTCTTGACCCGCGGCGTTTTAATGTTTTCTCCTTTCAAGGGTGAAACGGACATAATAATAGGAAAATATATTTTCATAATTGCATATTAAGTCAAGCATACCCATTGTTCTTTGGAGTTCTGTGTTTGTTGGGCACATGGTCTTGCCCTTAATTGTTTTTTTGTTTTCGTTATTGCTTTATGTGGGACGTTTTATGTGGTGCACCGATAATGGATTTCGTATAGTTTGTGTTGTTTGTTTTTTTTCTTTTTTCTCTGTGTGAGTTCTCTATTTTGTTGCTTTATGTTTTCTTCTCTTTGTAGTTAACTGATTTAAACAGAGGAAAAAATATTGTTTTTGTGGTGATGATGTTATACCGTGTGTTGTATTTACTTACTTTGCTGCTAAGCATTGCTTCTGTGTGTGTGGCCTCTGAAGAGCTTTCTCGTGCCAAAGCACCAGAGGAAAGAAGTGAGACAGGCCCTGCTGGTCCTGCTGGTCCTACTGGTACTTGTTCTCCTGATGTGCAGTGTCCTCCTGCTCGTAGTGGAGATTCTCCTACTGATTGTGAAGAAACTGCCAAGAAGAATTGTACTACCGCTAGTGGTGACGTCCAAGAGAATTGTGTTCCTGATTCTCTTGCTCCTTGCACTACACCAAAGGAACCAGCTCCAACTACACCAAAGGAACCAGCACCAACTACACACAAGGAAGAACTTCGTGAAGGCAAACCCGGTCCTGTTGGTGCTGCTGGCGCTGAAGAACCAGGAACAGGAGCTGCTGGTCCTGGTGCTCTTCCTGCAGTTGGTGATGTTGCTTCACCCAATTCTATTCCGGAAGCAAGTCAAGCTACGAAACCTGATCAACGCGAAGCTGATCACGCTGCTTCAGCTCCTGGTGAGAGACCTGGTGGCCAGATTGCAGTTGAAGATCACGCTGAAAGCAGCGACAAAGGAGAAGCAGGTGGAAGTGCAACAACGGCTGACGGTGCAGCACAACAGCCTTCTTCTTCTCCCACTACAGTCACAGAGAGTACCAGTGGATCTGACACTTCAACAGAAAATGGCAGTACATCTGCAGGAACTGAGCCCACAAGCACCCAAAGCACTGATGTGGGAAATACAGAAACAAACACCACCACCACCACAACAACAACAACAACAACACTTCCTCCTGAGACTGCAAACAACAAGAAGGGTGATGCAGACAGTAGCAGCAGTATCAGCAGTTCTGTGTGGGTACGTGTACCACTACTGATTGTGGTTACACTGGCCTGTATTCTTGTGTGCTGATTGAGTGTGATGGTGGTGTGACTCAGGTCATCCTTTGTTTTCTTTTTCTTTTTTGTATGCATCCCTACAGTCTATCTAATCTTTTCACCTGTTGGGATTATCTCTTCTTTTTTTTGTTTCTTATTGTTAATGTGTTTTTTGTGTTTTTGCTCTCTGTGTGTTTATCCTATAATTATTATTGGTACTCCATTGTGTGTGTGTTCTTGGAGACTCTCTGTGTGTGACTGTGGGCTTGCACTGTGATGATGATGATGAACTGCTTTTTGCAGTGAGAGGAAAAGGAAATAATAATGAATACAGATGAATTTATATTTATAATTGCGTATATATACACATATATACACTTACACCCATAGTTGGTGTATATTTCTGTGTTTACTTGGTAAATTGGGCTAATAGTTAATAACTGTTTGTTTGCTAGTAAGTTTTGCTGGGTCATTGTGTGTGATTGCTCCTTTATTGTTATTGTACTCTGCGTAGTGCGGAACGAAAGCATAATATCAGTCGTACAGAGATATATTTATTATTACAAATGAACTTAAAGCAAAGCTATGGTTCTTTGAATTTTTTGTTTGATGATGCCGATAGTTTTCTTTTTTCTGGATTTACTGAGACAGTTGGTGCGATGTGCCTATTTTTTGGACTCTATATTGTTTATTTTGGTGTTAGTGTTTTGTGTGACTGATGCTTTTTCTTGTCTTTACTTTCTCCGTGCTTCTTTTTTATTGGCTTTTTGTTTTGCTTTCTTTTTTATTCCTTATCCAGGTTTAGCGGTCGAAAGCAACGAGAATAATTTTTATTGCGATGCTACTGCGCTTTTTGTTGTGTGCTTTGATTTTGTTTCTGAGTGTACCCTCTGTGTGTGGGACGGGTGAAACGGTTTCTCAATCCCCCGGTTCTTCTCGTGAATGTCCTCGTACTTCTGTAGCTGATGGTGCTGAAGAGTGTCCTTCTTCTGCTAGTGGGCTTTCTTCTAAGAAAGAACAATGCACTTCGAAGGATGATGCATCTAAATGCAGTGACCCTGCCGAAGAAATAGAAGAGAAGCAGCATTCTGATGATTCTGGGAGAAAACGTGATGAAGTGGAAAGAAGAGATTCTGGTAGTGAGCACAGAAAAGAAGAAGCAGAAATTCAAGTGACTAAAGAAACAGTTAATCCAGGTGGTCGAACGACTGAGGCAGCCAAAGGAGCCGCAACACCAACACCAACACCAACACCGCCAACGAATAATGGTAGACATGATGACAGTAACAGCCGAGAAACTGAATTGCCGGCAGAGCCGCAACCAACCGGTCCACAAGGTAAACCTGGTACTGCACAGTCACAACAGAACACTATGGAAGTGCAGCCGTCTCCAATTACAGGAGAAGACGAACCTAAAAGAAATGATACTACACCCAATACAGAATCCGCTGCCCAAACAACTGCAGAATCACAAGAAGATAATGGACCACAATCATCTACTGCCGATGCTGCTGGGACTCCTGCATCACCCTCACCAGAAGGAACTGCAAATACTTCGGATGACACTACAACAAATAATGAGGAATCAACCAACACCACCACCACCACCACAACAACAACAACACTTCCTCCTGAACTCACAAACAACAAGAAGGGTGATGCAGACAGCAGCAGCAGTATCTGCAGTTCTGTGTGGGTGCGTGTACCACTACTGATTGTGGTTACACTGGCCTGTATTCTTGTGTGCTGATTGTATTGGTGGTATGGTGGTGTGACTCAGGTCATCCTTTGGTTTCTTTTTCTTTTTTTTTTGCATACATCCACACTACAGTCTAACTAATGTTCCACCTGTTGAAATTATCTTTTTTGTTTCTTATTGTTAATGTGTTTTGTGTGTTTTTTTGCTCTCTGTGTTTATCCTATAATTATTATTGCTACTACTCCATTGTGTGTGTTGGGCTCTTGTGTGAGTTTTCGTTTGCATTCTGGTGATTGCTTTGCTTTGACCAATGAAATTAAAAGAAAGTGAAAAACGAAACATGAATACTCGTAATTGCTTTTGGACCGTTTAGAATGAGTTGTTCTTTGTTTGTGTACTTGGAAAACCTATAATATATTTTTTTTTGTGGTTTCCTGGTGTGGTGTGCTTTGTGTGGTAGCCGTTTGAATATTGGTCGGTCCTTTTATTTGTTCTTGACTGAGCTTACGTTGCTGTTTTGTTTTCTCTAACTGGTTTATTTTTTTATTTTTACATTATTGTGTTTCTTTGTATTTTACTGTGTTTGGATTACTTTTTTTTATCTCTCATATTGTTTTTCTATTTTTTAGTCCATTGTTTTTAAGCAAAACACACTACAACTATTATGACTATGAGGGAAATGATGCGCCGCATGCTGTGTTTACTGGTTCTTATGTTGTGCTGTGCTTCTGGATGCGTAATGGCTAATCAACTTCAACCTCGCCCTCCTCCGCCTGATTTGCGAAGTACAACTAGTGTAACTGGTGCTTACCCAGGGGTGCATGGTGTTTTTGTTTCTCCTGATGTTCTTCCTGGTTCTCGTGCAGTAAACCCTGGCTTGCACCCTGGGGCTGGTGTTGATTATACACCGTGTCCTGGCCCTCGTAAGAATGGTGATAATTGTATTCCCACCCCACCGGTGATTCAACAGTCCAGTGATGGTGCTCCTTCTCATGGTGTTCCCGGAGTTGGTGTTCCTGGTGTTGGGGTTCCTGGAGTAGGTGTTCGTCCTCCAGGTGTTCCTTCTCCTGCTACTGCTGCTGACAAACTTGGGTTTCAGCCTGGTCCTGCTATTGCTGGTGTGCCCGGCATGATTGGTTCACACAGTGTTGCTCTTCGTTCTACACCTGATGCTGGTGTGGGTGGTCTGTCAGGGGTTGGTGTTCATCTTGAGCCAGGCAAAAATGTTGCTCCATTCAACCCTTCTGCTACTGAGGTTGAAAGCCCTCCCTCTGAAGCCGTTTTTGAAGGTCGTAAGTTTTCCGAAGATGCAAAGGGTGTAAGAGCTGTTCCTACAGCTCCTGGTTTTCCTGTTAATGCTTCTGTTCGTAGTGGTGGTCCTGCCAATTCTGGAACTCGTGAAAAACCTTTGCTCCCTGGTGTACCCGTTGATGTTCCTTCTTTTCGGGGTGGTAACATTAACGAAGCTACTCCTGCGGTCCCAGGTGGTGTTGCTCCTTCCCCTGCAACCCTTGGTTCTCACCCTGGTGCTGGTGCTGGTGTTCCCAATGTTCCTTCTGGTGTTTCCCGCGATGAACCAAATGACCAAGGATTTCCTGGTGTGCCTAAAGCTATGCTTAACGTTGGTGGTGTTCCTCCTACGGATGTTGGTTTTCCTACTGTTGCTGGCATCCGTGGTTCTAAGAGTAAAGAACAAAAACCGAGTACTACAAACACGCAAGGAACTGGTGATACTCAACAAGAAAATACTGAAGCATCTTCACCTACTATTGAAGTGAGTGCTTCAGGATCACCTAATGTACAGACTTCCTCACAAACTTCATCTTCACCTGCACAGAGTGAATCAACGAGGGTCACTTCTAATACACCTATTAAGGAGAAATTACCCGCAATTACACCACCGATACCTCCCTTGCCTGCAAGGAGCGAGACCAAACAACCAAAGAAGCGTAAGGCAGACAGCAGCAGTATCAGTTCTGTGTGGGTACGTGTGCCACTACTGATTGTGGCTGTGTTGTTCTCCGCTACTGTGTACTGATAGGTTGGACTCACTTGAGGACAAATAATAATAATGGTAAAACTAACATAATCATAATTGCGTACATCCCTCATGGGTGAAATAAACGAATAATCTGTTTACCAGCTTTCTCTTTTAATTGGAATTTCTTTTTCTTTTATGTGTGTGTGTTCTTTTTCTAATAATTTCATTACTTGCTTTTCCCGTTGTGTGTTTGCAGAAAACTGGGCTGTTCTGTTCACTGACGGTATACATCTCTTGCTAGGACACACATATGTGTGTGTGCAGTAGTTTAATACATAAACTAGAGCCATGGGGTATTGTGTGTGTTCTTGGAGGCTTTCTGTGTGTGTGCACCTGGGCTTGCACTATAATAATGGTGAACTGTTGTTTTTTTGTAGTGGGAAAATGAAATAATAATAACAGATGAATATATATTTATAATTGCGTATATACACACACATATGGACTTACACCCATAATTGGTGTGTATTTCTGTGTGCACTGGGTAAATTGGGCTAATGGTTAATGTCTCTTTGCTTGTGGTTTGCTGGGGCGTTGAGTGTGTTTTGCCCTGCAGTATTTTGTTGATCTGCTTTGTCCTGAGTAAGGTAAGGGAAAAGAGTAACAGATACTTTTTTGATCATGATTGCGTATACCCTGTAAAGCGTATCCATAGAAACGTATTTGTGTGCTTTCCGGTTCTGTTCATTCTGCTGTTGGATTTTTCGTTTCTTTTTTTGATTGGGAGTTTCATAATATTGGGTAATATTTCTTATTTTCCTTTCATTAGATTCCATCTAGGTGTTTTTTCTGGATTTGTTATTGATTACCTTTTCTTTAATTCTTCTGTGCTCTTTTGTTTTGTTTTGAATTTCTCTCTCTCTTCTTATATCTGTAGAAAAGTGAACTCAGAGGGTGTTTTTAATTATTATAACAAGGATGGTGCGCCGTGTGTTATTTTTTCTTGCTTTGCTTTTGTGTGTTGAGTGTCTCTGTATGGCAGCTGCAGAGTCTCTAGCTGTAAATGAGGCTGATTCCACTTGCAAAGACGGTGAAGATAGTGGTAGTTGTGCTGCTCGTCCTTCTGCTGCATCTGGACACGCTGCTAACAGTTGCGAAGATGGTAGTAGTGGTTGTGCTGCTGCTGGTGGTGCTGCTCGACCCGTTGGTGAACCTGGAAGGCCTGCTTCTGCTCCTGGTGGTGTTGAAGCTTCTGGTGTTCTTGCAGGGCAACCTAGTGGTGGTGTTGGAGATTGTCCTCCAGGCAAGAATGGTACTCCGTGTACTCCTGGCGTTAGTGAACCTGACCCTGCTCGTAAGGATTGTGTGAACCCTCCATCTGGGGCGGATAGTTGCCCTACCAATGTTGATGAGACTCAAGACAATTGCGCTACTGGTGGGTCTGGTTGTCAAAACCAAACACAAGAACCGGCTGATGCGAAACCAAATGAAAACCGTGTAACTAATGAAAACGAACATCGAGGTCCCGATGGTGCAAGCCGTCCTGTAAGTGAACAGGGATCTCATCCTCATGCAAGACAAGAGGATCGTCCCAACCCAACTGTTGCTGTTGATCCTCCTGCTGAAAAAGAGACTCTTGAAACTCAAAATGGAAACGGTTCACAAGGTGGTGTTTCTTCTCCTGCTGGGGTTACTGGAGGTGCTCCTACCGCTGCCGGTCAAACTGAAAGCAGTGTGGTCAGTGCAACCGAAGAAGGTGGATCTAAACAGGGAAGTGAAACAGCACAACCTTCTTCTTCTTCCAACAATTCGGCCACGGGGAGTGATGTTGGTTCTGGTGCTGCAACACCTGAGAATGGCACTTCATCTGCAGGGACTGAGGCAACAAGTAACCAAGAAGGTGCGGGAAATGCAGACACAGACACCACCACAACAACAACAACACTTCCTCCTGAACTCACAAACAACAAGAAGGGTGATGCAGACAGCAGCAGCAGTATCAGCAGTTCGGTGTGGGTGCGTGTACTACTACTGATTGTGGTTACACTGTCCTGTATTCTTGTGTGCTGATTGTAATGGTGTGGTGGTGTTGTGTGACTCAGGTCATCCTTTGTTTTCTTTTCTTTTTTGCATACATCCACACTACAGTCTAACTAATCTTTCACCTGTTGGGATTTTCTTTCTTCTTTTTTTGTTTCTTAATGTTAGTGTGTTTTGTGTGTTTTTTTGCTCTCTGTGTGTGTGCACCTGGGCTTGCACTATGATGATAATGAACTGCTTTTTCTAGTAAAAAAATAATAATAATAAAAGATGAATTTATATTTATAATTGCGTATACACACATATAGACTTACACCCATAGTTGGTGTATATTTCTATGTTTACTGTGTAAATTTGGGCTAATGATTAATATCTGTTTGTTTGCTTATGGTTTGCTTGGGCATTGAGCCTTTTTGATATAATTGTGAGTGTGGGCTTTGTTTTTGTTTTTACTCTTACTGAGGTTATTGCGCTGTATTGCATTCTTTAACTGGTAGGTTTTACTTTCACGATGTGAGTTTCCATAGTGGTAATCGAATTGTTTGTCCTAACATGTTCGATACTTGATTTATTTTCTTTCTTTACTTTTTGATTGTTTTTCTTTCTATATCAGTGTTTCTACGCAATCCAAACTATTGTCTCTCTCGTGATGGTGATGCGCCGTGTGATGTGTGTGTTGGCCGTTGTGCTGTGCTGCACCTGCGGGTATACCATGGCTGCTACTACTACTACTGTTAATGCTGGACAGCCAAAGGCGGTGATGGCGTATGTAGGTAGTTGGATGGATGTGGATTTTAATGTAAAAGAAAGCAATGAAAAGAAGTGTAAAGGTAGCAGTGATGAGACCCCTATAATGGGTTGTAATGTCTGGAATAAAAATGGGAGTCCCGCTCCTTCACCAGAACAGGCTCCTAGTGGAAATGCAAGAGCACCAGATTTAACTAGTAATGTTGTGGGAGGGATTGGAGCTGGCCGACCAGGCAGTAGTGCTCATGAGAGAGAAGGTGGAAGTGGTGAATTAAATACAGAAGCGGAAGTGGAAGCGAGAGAAGTTGTTCGTGCTGAAAGTGATAACTCACCGAAAGATCCTGCCTCGGAACGTGATTCACAAAGGCAAACTCAAGAGTCTGCTGCACCTTCACAAGGTAACGAAGAAACGTCGAATGACGCAAGGGATATCAATACATCTGATGACTCTAATCCTACAGAGCAATCTCCTGCAGCTGCAGTTCCCACTGCCACAGAAAGCTCCAACGAAAACGACACCACTTCTCAGCCGAGCACCGAGAATACTGTCAGTGAAGAATCAACCGTGACTTCTTCTCGTGACTCTAATCTTACTCAGCATTCTACTGCAACTGATGATGTGACTACCGTACCAAACTCACCAGAAACAAATACCACTAATCCGCTGAGCCCTGAGAACACTACCACAGAAGCACCAACCACCACTACATCTCCTGCACCTGTACCCAACGCAGAGATAAGCAGCAACATCGCCTCCACTGTACAGAAGAATAAGGCTAATGTTGACAGCAGCAGTGTCAGTCCTGTGTGGATGCGCACTGCAGCACCTCTGCTGATTATGGTTGTGTTGTTCTCCGCTACTGTGTACTGAACGATGGAACTCATCTGAGGTCAAATAATAATAATGGTTTTCCTATTATAATCATATGTGCATACATCCACCCCATGGGTGAATAAACTAGTAATCTGTTTACCATCTTTCACTTTTAATTCGAATTTCTTTTCTTTTCTTTTATGTGTGTGTGTTCTTTTCCTAATAATTCCATTACTTGCTTTTCCCGTTGTGTGTGCAGAAAACTGGGCTGTTCTGCTCACTGACGGAATATATTCCGTGCTAGTACACAGATGTGTGTGCGTGTAATTTAATATACATAAACTAGAGCCGTGGAGTATTGTGTGTTTTATTGGACACTCTCTGTGTGTGCCTGGGCTTGCACTGTAATGATGATGAACTGTTTTTCGTAGTGAAAAGGAAATAATAATAGCAGATGAGTTTATATTTATAATTGCGTATATACACATATAGACTTATACCCATAGTTGGTGTATTTCTATGTGTTTACTGGGTAAATTGGGCTAATGGTTAATATTTCTTTCTTTGTTTTGGTGCTCGTGGGTCATTCTGTGCTTTTGCCCTGCACGGTTTTTGGTAATCTGTTTTATAAGAGCAAAGGAACAAATAGTAGTTAATACAATTTGTATTCGTAATTGCTTTAACAGACCAGCATATTCAGTGGTCTGTGAGTTATTTTTGTGCAGTTGGTCCTGTTCTTAATTTGTGTTTTTTTTTTTTTTCGCTTTCTTTGCTTGGGCACTGTGTGCTTTTTCCTGCATTGTTGTGTGTTGGAGTGTTTTGTGCAGTGAGAAACAATCATAAGGAATACATAAGTATATTTATAATTGTGCTACGTCCTACAGGAAGAGGCATTTTGATGTATTTCTGTGCTTTACTCTTTTAATGGTCGTATTCTTTAATTTCGTTTTTTTTTTCTTTTGAGGGGTTTATTGGGATTATCTGTTCGTTATTGGGTATTGTGTGTGTTTTTACTTCAATTGGGGTACTTTCTGAGTTATGGTTGCAGTTTTCTGTTATGTGTGTGCTTCTGCTGTAATTGTTGATTGTTGTTTGATTTGGTGTGTGTTTTCATTTTCTTGTTTACATTGATTAACTTTGTTTCTGTTTTTTCTTATTGGGTTTTCTTTTTTTGTCTTTAAGCGATTGAAGTAAGACTACTACAAAAAGTATTGTAATGATAATGATGATGCGCTACGTGCTGTGTATCCTCGCTCTCCTGCTCTCATGTGCGTGTGTGCACGTCCTCGCTGAAGAAGTGCCTGCCGCCGATCTTTCCGACCAAGTCCCTGATACGGAGAGTGAGACAAAGATTCTTCTTCAAAGTACTCCTGTCAGTTGCCCTGATGGTGACGAACGTTCTGTTGACGGTAAACCTTGTGCTGAGGCTGCTGCTAGTGGTCCCGGTGCTGGTGGTGCTCAAGGGCCTAACACCCACGGTCATCAGAATCAATCTGAAGTTGGTCAACAGCACGGTGCTGGAGTTAGTGGCCTATCTCCTCAGACGAGTGGACTGGGTCGTGGAGCTGGAGTCACTACTACTACCTCTAATCTGCACAACGAGAGGGGGAATAAGTTACCAGGTGCAGAGGCTGCTGCAGGAAAGGGTCAAGGAATTCATCAGCAGCAAGAGAGCAGTCAAGATCCAATACGAAGTGAAGAAGCATCTCCTGGGGTGAAAGAGAACTCAAATCAAGGAGCTTCACCACAGCAACCTCAACAAACTGGTGATACATCCAATGACAGTAGCGCAGTCAACACCAGTGCAGCCAGTGGAGAAGGTACAGGTGCACAATCATCTCCTACTTCTGCACCTTCGCAAACTGATGGAACTGCGGAAGGTGGTAATTCTACAGAGACATCAACGAATAACTCAGCGAATACAACCTCCGAAAGTGACAATACATCCACTAATGAGGAATCAACCACCACCACCTCAACAACAACAACAACAACAACACTTCCTCCTGAACTCACAAACAACAAGAAGGGTGATGCAGACAGCAGCAGCAGTATCAGCAGTTCTGTGTGGGTGCGTGTACCACTACTGATTGTGGTTACACTGGCCTGTATTCTTGTGTGCTGATTGTAATGGTGGTGGTGGTGTGGTGTGACTCAGGTCATCCTTTGTTTTCTTTTCCTTTTTCTTTTTGCATACACACTACAGTCTAACTAATCTTCCACCTGTTGGGATATTCTCTTCTTTTTTGTTTCTTAATGTTAATGTGTTTTGTGTGTTTTTGCTCTCTGTGTGTTTATCCTATAATAATTATTATTATTGCTACTCCATTGTGTGTGTGTGTGTNTGACTCAGGTCATCCTTTGTTTTCTTTTCTTTTTTGCATACATCCCTACAGTCTAACTAATCTTTCACCCGTTGGGATTTTCTTTCTTCTTTTTTTGTTTCTTAATGTTAATGTGTTTTGTGTGTTTTTTTGCTCTCTGTGTTTATCCTATAATAATTATTATTGCTACTACTCCATTGTGTGTGTGTGTGTTCTTGGAG